TACTCGCACCTGAACTTTCCCTGGTCCAGATCCCAACCAGCCGGACCAATCGCTTGTCCAAGCTTACCGAGAGCTGAATGTGGGGTGAAACACGACATACATTTTTAATTTTTCCTCGCTCTGAACGCCTCGCCTCCCCCACCCAATCCGTGTTTCTGTTTTCTTATTTCTGGGGTCCTACCTCCATCTCTGAGCCCTAGTATGCCCTAGGCGTTTGGCCTCTGCTTTACTATACTCAAGTTAGGATTCTAGTCCACAACAGAACCAAAGCCGAGCAACTATTCATTTCCGTGTCCGTACCCCACCCTATCGACCACTCGAGTACCGTATTCTGTCAAGCTGGGTGGAGAAAGGATAGTTTCGGAAACCGGTATTTCGATCAGCGACAAGGGGGCGACCATTTTCGCTTAAATCAAGCGAGCTACTCATACAACTTGTTAGCACGGTATCCAACCTTCAAATATAGCCAAGCTAAAAATATTGTCAAGTCGATGGATGGGTGGGTATCCCTATCCTTCTACACCGCACTTCTAAGAATCTTCGTAGGGTTAGTCAAGTGCGATCAAATGTCGACGGGAACTTCAGTGGGAATACGGGTAGCGGCAATGTCATTGGCAATGGCAACATTATCCTCGGTATGCAGATGTCCCACTATATGACAAACCAAGGAGGGACAAATGAAGAGCAGGCAATGAGAGAGAGGGACGAAGGTATTAAAGTTTCTCCGCGGATTTCTGTCCAGAAGCTAACGTGGTAATAGAACCGGGAGAAGCATCGAGGCCATACTGGATAGTGCCCTATTGTAGGAACGGCGCATTTACTGGCCGTGAGAGTGTCATCGAGTCGATAAAAGGAGTTTGCAAAGGTGGGGCTCATAACCGAGTCGCTCTCCATGGGTTGGGGGGTTGTGGGTATGTATTTGGTCTTACATTGTACTTGTATGAGGTTTACTAATGGCATTTAGAAAAACCCAGATTGCTCTAGAATACGTTTACCGGCGTTCCAGTGAAGGACGTTGCCATGTTTTTTGGGTGCAAGGAAGTGGGATATTGAAGTTTACGGAGGGTTTCAAGGATATTGCACAGCATGTTCGAATCCCTCTAGTGGGCGCTGAGAAGGACGAAGAAGAATTGCTCCGGCGTACAAGGAAATGGCTCGAAGGCCCTGATAGCGGTGACTGGATCCTAGTCATCGACAATGCCGACAATGAAGCCGACTTTATCGGGAACAATAGCCCCATTTCGAAGTTTGTGCCACAAGGGCGTGAAGGGACTGTGATATTCACCACTAGATCTCAGCAGGTTGCGATTCGACAGGGCTGTAAAATTATTAGGGTTGGCAAGATGAAGCCGGGGGAGGCCCTGGAGCTGTTTTCAAAGCGGTTTGATAACTGGCAGAGCTTGGGAGATGAAGAAAAAGGGACTGTTTCAACGATCCTAGACTCGATGGATCACGTACCGCTCGCTGTCGTGGGTTCTGCAGCTTTTATGGCCGAGAATGGGACACCACCCTCTGTTTACTGGTCTATCTTCCAGGAGAATGATAAACGGGCGAAAGAGCTGCTTTCGGAGCAGTTTTCCGAGATCCAACGCGAGGCCGACGTGACCGAAAGTATCCTGAGTACCTACTTTATCACTTTTGACAGAATTACCGAACAGATGCCCCTGATGGTAGAGCTTCTCGGGCTGCTTGCGTCCATCGATCGTCAGAACATACCCAAGGAGCTACTGACTCATTCTGGACTGGAGGGTATGAATGATTCGCTTAAATTTTGTCGGGCGATTGGGAAACTATTGAGGTTCTCACTGGTTACGGAAGCCGAACTTGAAGGCACAATATTTTATGAGCTTCACCGTCTAGTCCAACTCTCTATCCAGACATATCTGTCGATAGAACAGGGCAATCAAGGGAGGACTGCGGGACTGCGGACTGTCTCAAGGCTTTTCCCTAAGTATGAGTACAAGCGGCGGAATATTTGCGCGGCTTACATGTCTCATGCGCTGGCATTAACTAAAGATTCAATGGATACCACTGCCGAAGACCTTATCTATTGTATGGGACAGCATTATTTCGAAATGGGCTCCTATAACAACGCCGAGATTCAAGTACGCCAATGCCTCGCTCTTCGAGAGGCAGATAAAGGACGAGACTGGGACGGTGAGAGCTTCTCTCGAATTATGCTCTTAGGAGAGTTGCACCGGCACCAGGGAAGGGCGAGGAAGGCAGAGGTGATATTTCTTCAGGTTCTAAAGGACGTGGAGGATACTTCCGGGTTGGACCACCCTGATACTTTGATGGCTGTCAATAACCTGGCTCTGGTGCTGCAGGCGCGAAGGGAGGTAC